CACGAAGAACAGGCTTCGCCACATTCATTGGCATCGAAACGTTATTTTCTTGCAAGCCACAAAAATGTGCCATCTTGGCAGAAGCGATCCAGCTACATACATGGATCGAATCGTTACCTGTCGAGGCGATCACCCCCAGGCGTAGAGAGCCGCGGCAACCCGAAGTACAAAATCAAGGCTTAGTCTTCCAATAACGTCTCCGGCACGGCAAAGGAAGATAAAGCCAGTATTTTTCCCACCGCCTTTGTAATTCTGACAGACTTAGAGCAATCTTTCTACATACTGCTACTCTCTATCTTAAATGCGCGCCAAAGAATCGGTTTGCATCTGAGAGACAGTTTTCTATCCCTCTACCCATAATGGGCAGCAAGCTTCACGCCATGCATCTCTTATAATAATTTGCTGTCGCCAAGGACGATTGACAGGAATGCATAACTATTTCCCTTGAAGAGGTAAAACCCGTAAGCCTGATAGAGAATTCATACAGCAGGCTCATGATTACTAGCATTTGTGCAAATTTCACTGAATCGATTGCATCATCGGATAATAATTCTTGTAAACTTATCAACGACCACACGTATTCCGTTTTGCAATGAGTAAATCAACAGATGCCCGGTCGACTTAGAGCATCCGCCCGGATGTTTGCATTCCGCTTTGTGCTGTTAACACAAAAAGTAAATATTTATGCAAGCATAAGACTCGCATCGGGCGTGCATTCGACTGATAATTCTTATCTTGCGTATTTAATGTACTCGAAGCCCTTGTTGGTGTCTTTGGGTTCGTATTTCCGAGACGCTCAGTTTGACTGTAAGCTCACTGAAATCGGAGTTCATATGCTCCCGAAATTATTTTTGAAGTTTCCAACTAGTTTTTGCCTCGAGATTCGTGCCCGATCAAGATGATTTTGTGATGTCGTATCAATATCGATACCGACATGGTTGTTGTCAATGACTCCAAGTCCTGGATTTTTAATCCTGTCGAGCTCAACAGCAAGAACATGATTTTTCGGATTTCCATTGTTGGAAGAGTTGAAACAGACCCAGGAATTCTGCTAGGAAAGTATTTTGGAAACTAAAGGTTGGAGAGAGAACAAAAGCAAGGCCATGACCACCAAAGCTTGGATTTTCAGGCACAATGGAGAAGGCAAAGCAGGTGGAGAAAGAATTGAGGTTACCATTTGATGTGCTCTTGAAATAGAGTGGTGTCTTGTAAAAAGCATGGCCTTGCTGGTACTTTGTCGTGTTGGCAGTGACGGAGTCAGGATTATTTATCAGCGGGGCGCAAATTTTTAATTTGAAAAATACCGTCAAGTTTTTTTTTCCTCCAATGGTTGCATAATTTTAAATCCGCCTTTGCGTGTTGGTTAATATCAAGAGGCCATTGAAGTTGATCTCCGCTACACCATCGAGTTGCAGATCTCTGTTATCGAATCCATTGAAGACGAATTTTTCGGAATTGGAAGCTGTGGAAAATAGGAGGAGAAGAAGGAATATTTACATATCTAACATCTAAAATATTAATATTACATGCCTACCACCTATATACAACTTTAATATCAAATATACAACTCCTATAATTCATTTCTACCATTTATTTCATCTTATAAACTTTAATATTTCATTCCATGCACCCAAATTTGTTCTATGGGTGGTAGACATATAATATTAATGTTTTGAGTGTTAGATATGTAAATAGCATAAAATAAAGTGGTATGTATGTAAATCTCCCTTAAAAAATTCATGAAATTTTAAATTAAAAAAAAAAACTACTAATGTGAAGATAAATGATTAAAATGGGTAAATATATAAATAAAGAGATAAATATAAATGAAAAAAAAATGATTTAAGATGTTCTAATAAAAATCAACAAAAATAGGTAACCTCTTAAGAGTGATAGTGGTAAAAAAAATAAAAATTTTAAAATCATCTCACCCTCATGGGAGGGAGAGAGAGAGAGAGAGAGAGAGAGAGGGTTAGTGGATTTCGGAGTTATAATGCTGACTGAAATATATTTCGGAGTTATTGATGTGCAAAGCAAGAAAATGAAACAGTGATTGCCAATTATGGCAACAAGCTCTAATTATCTAATTATCTTTTTGATCATTTGAAAACTTCCAAGTATTACTTCGTATCATGTGGCTATCCTGTCAATTTTGAATAGTAGGATGAACACTTATTTTGGAGTATAAATTTTCTTCTGGAGCGAAACGAAAAACAAGATCAAAATTTGGATGAACTATGTTGCTTGAGTTTTTATGATGTCCGAGCTTCAAACCAAAATTTAGAAATTATTTTTACCTACACATGTATTGTTGTTTGTATAGCTACCGTAAAGCCTTTTATGTTACATATTCCCTTTTTGTATAAATAGTTTCGGACTCAAGTACGAAGATAGAGTTTTGACAAAGAATCATTTCCTACAGGATCATTTGGTAAGCTTAAGCCTAAGGCTGATGAACCTTTCCGGGTTATTAAGAAAATAAATGATAATGCATATCAAATCAATCTTTCTAGAGATTATAATGTTTCAGCTGTATTCAACATAGCCGACTAAAGTCCTCATTATGAACTAGAGACTCCTCTCACCCCGATAGAATGACGTTAGTCAAACCAAAATTTAGAAATTATTTTTACCTATAGATGTATTGTTGTTTGTATGGCTACCGTAAAGGCTTTTATGTTGCACGTTTCCTTTTTGTATAAATGGTTTATGACTCAAATAAAAAGACAAAGTTTTGGTAAAGAATAATAAATAGTTCTTCTTGTTGAGTTCTTTGTTTCTTGCATCTTGTTTTCCCAATTACAAGTGGTGGAGCGAGACGGAACAAAGAGATGCAGGTGATCTTGAGATCTGTTGGAGGTGTTCGTTGAGGCTTCCAAAGTCATGGATCGTTGCAGTTGATTTCATTTTTTCTCAGATCATGATTTAAGACAGTGAAATCTCAACTCGAAATAGCATTTTCAAGTCTTTTGGGTGCATCAAAGATAAAGTATAGCTGTTGGCAATTAATGTCATCAAAAACGGATTTGTTGGTCTCAAATCTCAATGCTTACTTTGAATTAAAATCTTCAGAATAAAATACAAAATAATGCATGTAAACTTTGATTTTAGTGCACTTGTACTCATACTGAATGTGTTATCGAGATAACTAAACCCATTGGCACCAAGAGATATCATATCATGGTCTGAACAAGCCCAAATTAAACACATGAAAAGTAATTGAAAAGTTTAGATCGCTAATTGGATAATCAAATCATATGAGCATCTCAATGATACAAATCCCATAAGATTATTATCACTTATATTTGACATCTTTTAGG